AAATGATGAGAGATGGGATTGGAAAGGAAAGGGAGTCATGAATGCTGGGCTGACAGTCCTTGCCTCTCTGCCATAGGCAAATGAGAGACTTGAGGGAGGGGCTCAGGGGAGGGGTGGTGCGGTTAGAGCTCACCACTGCCATTCTCTAGTCCCCTAGTCTCGTCTGTTTCCCATCACCCGCCAGAAACTTGGGAGAGCAGGGGAGGAGAAGGGGAGCAGTCCCAAACAGCCCTCCAAGATTGGTCAGCTAGGCCTCCTGACCCCAGCCTGGCCCTCTTCCCAGTACACAAGGCTCGGTCCCCATCCTCAGGCACCCAGACAAACCCCTCCGCCTCCCATGACAAAGAGGCTCCTTAGGCCCGGGCAAGATTTGCAAACGTCAAACTTGTAATTATAAGGATGAAATCATCTGGTTCCTTTTAAGCAAACGGGTTTATTGATCCCAACACTGAAGAAATGCTATTCTGGGGAAACTTACTCCTCTCAGTTTTCCTCTCCTAGTGGGATGGCTGAGCTGGTGGGGGAGGGTGGCAGGGGAGCTAAGAAGCGGAAGAACCTCCTGGGAGGGGAAATTCTTAAGGACCTAGGGGTGAGTTTTATGGTGTACTTAAATTATATCTCAAAAAAAAATTCTTTAGGGCCCAGAAAACTGCCTCAATTAGGCAGATGACACCCTCACCCCAGACTTAGGCACATCTCCATCCCCAGACTAGAAGCTAGGTAGAGCTGGGGCTTTAGGAACTGTGCCAACCATTAATTTCCCTTCTCTCTCACCCCCATCAAGTCTCATTTGTGACTCCAGATCCTATTTGTTTCAAGATGGCACAATATTTCCCTAGTAACTGAAGGGAAACTGTTTCCTTAGAAAAAAATACACTAGAGGCTCAGGGGCGTGGGAAGACCCCACCCTCTCTTTGAGGAGACGCAGATGTGGGGAGCTGCTGACACCATACCTAGATAAAGCCATTCTTTCTGCTGGACTTAGGGAGAAAGGATGTCTAGGCCTTGACCTTCCAAGCCAAGGAAAGACAAACAATTGGGCTCAGGGGCAGGAATGTAAAACGATCACAGGCAAGGAACTGATTCTGCCATAAGGCCCATGATAGGATTCCTTCATTCTACCTGTTGGGGACCCTTTGGGAGCATGGCAGGGTGCTTGAGGAGGAAGGGCCTTGGCCGCAACTCTGCATGAGCTGGCAGTTCAGCTAGAGAGACAAGCAGGGCTTTTGGCATCTCACCAGCAGATGCCTTAGGCTGGAATAGTTAAGAGCACAGACCTGGGATTGCCAGCACCCCTCTGCCCCCTCCCCCACCGTGCCTCAGTTTTTCTTCATCTGTAGAATAGAGCCAATAATACCAAACTTGCAGGATTATAGTAAGGAGTAAATGAAGATGATATACCCCAATGCCATTTTGTTATCTCTGATGGGTCAAGGTCTTGTCATTGTCCTGTGGTCAGTTATTTATATTTTCAGACTTTCTATTTCTTCATCTGTCAGATTGGGACAAGAAGACTTGTCTTGGAAAGTGGTTCTCTGAATGAACTTTGAGATAAGGGACATAAAAACACCTAGCTCACAGCTTCGCAGTTGGGTCAAACAATTGAGGGTTCCCATTCCCTGCTCAGTGTTACTATGCATTGTTCTGTCCACCCATTCGATTGGTCAGGGAGTCCTATAGGAGCAGCTGCTCCAGGAAGACAGGGAAGAAGAGGCCCTAGGCTGGCTGAATCCTCAGGAAAGGAAGACTCCAAGCAGCAGGGCTTCAGAAAGAATTCAACTAGGTTTGGGGAGTGGGAAGGGTGTTTCTAAGCAAAGAACAGATACACACAGTCCATAGTTGGATCCTATTAGAGGTGGTTCTTAGCAAACATCTCCATGGGGTAGTGCCTGGATCAATCCATACCGAGCTGGACAGAAACACAGAGTTAAACATACCTAAATTTCACATGGGTGAAATTTGCCTTTATTAATTTCCTTTAATGTAACTTTTTTAAATAAGTGAAAATTTTTTTCACAAGAAAAAAAGGCATACAGAGGTCAGCCGAGGAGATGGCCTCCTTCAGCCTGCGGCTTGTTTCCCAGGCGTCCTGGCTGGTTGGATGCCAGACAATGCCGAGTGGGTTATCCTGTGGCCTGGAGTTGCCAAAGGCTGTCTGTGGTGCTGCTGTTCTGGATCTGCCTCGCAGGCTTTCTCATCCCTTTCCCTCAAGACATCACTCCCTACCCCCATGAGGCTGACAATTTGTGTACTCTGTCCTGCTCTGTACTCCCACCCTCCGCCAAGATCAGCTGTAGGTTTATGAGCCCTACCTGGACCCATTGTGGAGTAAGAGTGCTGCCTTGTGGATCATTCTTTAGAGACAGAAATGGAAAGTTTTATACTAAAGTATACCTAAATGACTATGATGGCGCTGAATGGTGCAACATGTGATATACTCTTTTCCTACCGTAGAGGCTGACCCCCAAAACTCTGCTCCCCTGACCACTGGCCTTCAGACAGTCCTGTTGACTGGTACCAAAGTCATCGTCTGCCTCTTATTTAGACAATGGCTGCATTGTCCTAGCGTCCGAAGGTCTTTGCTGGACTGGAAAGACTTAAAGCAGAGGCAGCAGATGGATGAAAGCTTCTGTTTCTTGTGGCTTAATTCTACTTCTACCTTGGTGCCTTGGAGTGGATGCTGCCTCACCCACCTCTCAACATAAGATGCAGATGTTTTAAGGCTGGTTTTGTCTACACTTTTCCTATGATGATTTGGAGCTCCCCCTCCAGTTTCACCAGAACCTTTAGGCAGCAAAATAAAAATGGCAACCTTGGGGCACCTGGGTGGCTCAGTTGGTTAAGTGTCTGACTCTTGATTTCAGCTCAGGTCATGATCTCATGGTTTGTGAGATTAAGCCCCTGAGTCAGCCTCTGCACTGACAGTGAGGAGCCCACTTGGAGTTCTCTCTCTCCCTCTCTCTCTCTGCCCCTCCCGAGCTCTCTCTTTCTTTCCCTTTCAAAACAATAAACATTTTAAAAAATGGCATCTTTTGCAAGCTGTAGCTGATACAAACTGCTCAGTAGGCCCACAATGCACTTTCATTCCTTCCTTTTGGAGAAACTGCTCTTCCCTTCTTTCAACTCATCAGGGTCTATCTGAAGCTGCCCATTCCAGGCCTCTAACAGTCCTGATGGGAAAGCCTGTGTAATAAGCTGACCAATGTCATCATGTCAGCCTGGACATGGTGATTTGGTAGAGGGGAGAGTATGTGACTCAGACTGGGCCAAAGTCCTTCCCAGAAATAATGACTTAGAAATGGAGAAGTAGCTGCTCCCATCCTTTGCCAGGAAATGAATGGCATTGAAGAGAGCATGAGAAAGTTAAACAGTGACAAGAAATGGAGAAATAGAAAAGAAAAAGAGGGGCGCCTGGGTGGCGCAGTCGGTTAAGCGTCCGACTTCAGCCAGGTCACGATCTCGCGGTCCGTGAGTTCGAGCCCCGCGTCAGGTTCTGGGCTGATGGCTCAGAGCCTGGAGCCTGTTTCGGATTCTGTGTCTCTCTCTCTCTCTGCCCCTCCCCTGTTCATGCTCTGTCTCTCTCTGTCCCAAAAATAAATAAACGTTGAAAAAAATTAAAAAAAAAATTAAAATAAAAGAAAAGAAAAAGAGACTATCTATTCCTCTCTTTGACTTATTTACTTAAAATAAAACGGTCCCTTTGTACCTTTAAGTTTACTTGAATTGGGTTTTTGTCACTTGCAACTGAAAGAGACTTGAGGGAAGAATCTGAGATAGATGGAGGCCCATCTGTATCTATACCCTTTCTATTTGTGCACACTCATATGTTCACACAGGTTTGCTGTGGGCCAGGTAAGCATGCCCTTGGAAAGAGTTGATTCTATGTTTGCTATTCAGAAAGTGTGTTTGTTAAAACCACTAACCTACAGGTTCCACTCTACTGAAAACTCCCTTACTGACCTTGGGAAATTGATTAATCTCTGGACCTCAGTTAGGGTGACCTACCATCCTTGTTTGCCAGGGACAGAGTGGTTTCCTAGGACATGGAACTTTCATTGTTAAAACCAGGATTGTGTCTGGAAAAGCTGGACAGTTGGTTACCCTAACTCACTTCCATATCTGTAAAACTGAGATTAAACTAGACAGGGTTAGGAAATTCTGCCCCACCCTGCATTCAGGTCTACATTGCCAATTGCCCTCAACACTTATTCTTGCAAGTTTTAAATTTGCAATATGGCCAGCTACTATCAATCAGAGTTGGCACCTATTTGCCATCTTTTTTTTCCTTTATTTATTTTGAGAGAGAGAGAGAGAGAGAGAGAGAGAGAGAGAATCCCAAGCAGGTTCCAGGCTGACAGCTTGAAGCCCAAACTCACCAACTTTAAGATCATTACCTGAGCAGAAATCAAGAGTCAGACGCTTAACTGACTGAGCCACTCAGGCACCCTGTATTTACCATCTCTGTACTGAATTTTTGACTAGCTGGAATTTTAAGGATCAGAATTTATCGGGGACCAGCTCTGAGTCAGGCTCTGCCATAAATCCCATGTAAGATTCTCCAGCTTGGGCTAAATAACTTGCCTATAACTTGCGAATCTTTTTTAGGGCTTGATTGCACATTTGCGTAAATATGTGGACTGGCCTTAGGTTATATAATTCAACTTTTCTTCTTTAGAAACTTAAATTTACTGGGTGCTCATTATGTGTTAGACCTACATAAAGACTCTCAACGCCAACACTGAGAGCTTGTGAGTGTCTGCATTTTGCGAATAGGCAAACTGAGGCTTAGCATCCAGTGCTTGTGTAAGGTTTGTGTAAGCAGTGGAGTGAAATCCCAGCTAAGGCCTGACTCCCACCAGCTCAGACCTTTCCACCATGATGCGGATTCAGCGAGATTCTCTGGTTTGTTTCCATCTTTAATCTTTGATAGGCACAGCCTACACCCCTCCCTGTCGGTTTTCCGACACAAAGTCCCCAAGGACTTAAGTTTCCTCACTCACGTTCAGGTGACAATCTGGGGTCACTCCAAGCAGCTGAGAAGCCCCAAAGTTTCATACAGTCGACAGAAAGGAACCGCGCGAGCGGCTCCCTCTCTCCAAGGTCCGGGCAGATGTCCGCAGAGCAGTTCTACACAGAGGAAACCGCGGGCCCGCAAGGGTGAGAGAGCCGCACCTCTGGCTCGCTGCAGTCCAGCCGCCCCGCAAGCGGGTGGGCGGCGCATGCGCGGCTCCGGTCGCAGAGTTGTGAATGGTACGTTTTGTTTGCCGGAGTTTGGGGCGGGCGGGCGCACGAGGAGGAGGGGTGGGGCCGACCGGGGCGGGGCGGACGGGCGGGCTTGCGAGGTGGGCGGCGAGAGGAAGTGGCGGCGGCGGCGGCCAGGGGCGGCGAGTGCTGGGTCGGCGCGGGCGGTAGGCAACGGCTAAGGCGGCGGCGGCGTGGGCTGGGCTCGAGCGGGCGGCGGCACCTCAGACTCGCGGGAGCTGGAGCCCACGCGGGCGGGCGCCTGAAACAAAGGGAAGCGAGAGTCAGGGCGCCGCGGGTGGGCGGTCAGTCGGTCAGCGCGGAGCCGGCCAGCGGGTGCCGCGCAAGTCCGGAGCCCGGCCGGCCGGCGCGGCCTCAGGGCGGGAAGATGCCGCGCGTCGTGCCTGACCAGAGAAGCAAGTTCGAGAACGAGGAGTTCTTCAGGAAGCTGAGCCGCGAATGCGAGGTGAGGCAGACAGGCGGCGCGGAGGCCGCGTCGCGCCCCGAGTGGGCCCGGGCAGAGAAAAGTTTGGGTGGCGCGCCCGCAGAGGGGCAATCTCGCCCGGGCAGCCGCCTGCCCGCAGACTCTGCTTGTCCTTATCTGCGCCGCGCGGGGCGGGCGGGCGCGCAGGCGGCGGTCGCGGATTTGGCTCCTGATTTCGGGTCGTCTCTGCCTTGCAGATTAAGTACACGGGCTTCAGGGACCGGCCCCACGAGGAGCGCCAGGCGCGCTTCCAGAACGCCTGCCGCGACGGCCGCTCGGAAATCGTAAGTCGGCGGGGCAAGGGAATGGGGGGCTCAGGGCGCGGGGACCGAGGCGCGCGCGGGTCACTTGTTGCGCGGGGGCCGCCGCGGCCCAGGCCGGTTCCGGACGGCGCCGCGGACGCCGCGGCTCCCGGAACTGAGCGGGCGCCGTCTCACTTCCTACTCGGGATTCAAAATGAGAAAGCAGACACTGGCGGGCCGCGTCCTCGCGGGGAGACGCTTCCCTGTGGCCCTCTGCGGGTCGGTTATGTTTCCCAGGCACGACTCGACAGTTTGCCGCGTGTGGAACTCACACCGGAGCCCAACTGTACAAGGAAAGCTCATTGTACAGGCTGTGACACTGATAAAGGGGTTGGCGTGTTTGTACGGAAGAAAACACCCATTCGGAAAAAGAATTCGGCTTCATTCAAAGATCTGATTCCTGGACGATAGTTTGTTTCTAAGACGCGGGATTTGTTGGTAAATCTGTAGGTGAAGCTGTTTCACTCCCATTATAGTTTAGAATAAATCTTTATGCCAGTTATCTATTGTCTTTAGTAGAGGGGGAAAAGCCCTAAAGAATGAGCTATCTTCTTAGAATGTTAAGCCTCGGGAGAATCAGAAAGAAACCATTGTCTTTCTTCAAACCTGAAACACATACCCTGTTTAGTGCTGGAGTTCCCAAAGAATTGCATGGATTTGCCAAACCCACAGTTGGTTTGAGGCCATGTTTTAGGTGGTAGATTTAGTGCTTCGTGTCCACCAAACCTTCAAGTGTCTCATCTTTTGGGTTGTCCTATTGGAGGTGCTAATGAGGAGGCAGTGAAGAAGCCAAAGAGTAAGTAGGAAGAAGCTAAAAAAAAGAGATCGATAATTAATTAAAAAAGTAAAAAAGTTGAAATACTGTGTAATGGAATCCAGTTATCTACTCTGAACTGGACCCATTTGCATTTGCAGAGACTTGAAGCTAGGGTGCAGTTTGAATTTGGGTTAACAGTAGGAAGACATGTTGAAACATTAACTTCTCCCCTCTCCTTTAGACGATACACTTTGTTGAGATACAATTCACATGCCATGAAATTCACCCTTTTTATCACCTAAATCAACTTTGTTTTTAAAGAATATTTAAAATGAATGTTTTGCTATTTAAAATGAAGGCTTTTTCGAATTCTGTTACAGGTAATGTGAAAGGTACTGGCTAAATTTATTAGGAGCTCTAGAATATTTGGTCATTAGTGAATGTTATGAAAGAAAATCTCTAGCTTTTAGCCCACTTCCAAGTTTCTTGAGTAGTTATAATAATTATGTGATTAAAATGCCTAAGACATATTTTCGGTTTTGGCACTGAGTAGTAGAAGAATCATTCATTAGTTGGTCCGGTGATTGTATCATCCTTTGTCTGGGTTTCCTTTTGCAAAAGGTGGATGGTATACCTAACCAGTGGATTTCCTGGAGTTAATTGATGTAAGTGTGAAAGATAAGGCACAAAGTACCGTCATGATTTTTTAGAGCTGAGGGGTTTTTTTTTGGAAACCTAGTGAAGCATAGCTATTAGGGTGTTTTCTGTCATATCAGAGACTTTGCTGTATTTAATTATGAATTGGGAGTATAATTTAACCCACAGTATATCTGAATTGCTGTATTATAGTATTATAAATAGTTGCTTGTATTTACCATATATTTCTTCCAGGGATAAATCGGACAAACATTCTAGGCTTTCTTCTCTTCCAAATATCTGGTCTGCAAATTTTAATAAGTTCTTAATATCTGACAGGTATTCAAAGTTAAAGGGTAGGTTGAATTCTGTATAAGATGTACACTTAAGGTAGCATGCATGTCTTAATTCATTGAATAATGTAACTATTTGTATTTGGGAAGGAATTTCACATTCCCCCTCTGTTTAGTCCCCCCCCCCTTAATTCAGTATTCTCCACATTTAAGTAATGAGGTCCCTAGCTCCTAGAGGGTAGAGACCACATTAATTCTGTGGTGTATGCATTAATATACTCCCCCCTAAACAGGTACTTGGCATAATGCCTTTTGTATCATAGGTACTTGATTAATTGAATTTAGAGGTTACCTAATATAATGTCTAAAATTTATTTTTTTTTACTTAGGAACAGGCTGTGGCTTTTATTTATTTGGTTGTGGAAAGTAGGTGTGGAAAAGGCATTATTTTGCCTGTGTTTTGACAGCAGCTATGTATAGTATATAGGCATAGTTTCCAAAACTATTACCAACCTTCCCTCTCCTCTTATTCTTTTAATTTTGAACATCTCCTTAGTGTGTCACTGAAGTTAATGAATTTATTTTGTATTTAGATAGATGTGATTATAACTATAAAACTTATTAGACTCCATATCATAGCATGAATAAAAATGATTATGGGTGAGGGGTAGAATCTGTTGGGTAAAGTCTGATTTATTCCTGGTAAGTTCTTATTGTGGTAAGAGTGTTGGAGAAGTCTTCAACACCAATGATTAATAAAAGAGAAGAATACTTAGGACAGGTATGGTGACTACTCTGACAGCAGTAAAAATTATATTTTTAATCCTGATGATGGCAGGATAAAGGTATGTTGGATCAACACAAGGGGTGTTATTTTATAATTTGTGAAATCTGTAAAATAATTGCCGGGACAACCTGGAAATCTTATATATAGTCAGTGATAACATTGTAGCATTTTTATGTTTTTGAACCAATTTTCCCAGTTATGTGTGCATAGATATTCCATTAAAAGAGAGTTCTGTGGTCAAATAAATTCGTGAAATGCTATTCTAGAATGATCTGTTTTTTACCACTTCTCTCTGAAAGAGGGATCTTGATGAGATAATGGGCATGAAGTGATGAAGCAGGAAATCTCTTCTGAGGTTGGTCTTCAGACAGGAGGTGAGGTAATAAGATCTGTAGACTGTCTTTACTTAGCACTGAGCTGATTTGGGGTACACTGCGGGTGGAAGGATTTGTTTACCAGGTGAATACTAAAGAAACACGCCTGGGGATTTGGACACAAGGCATTCATTCATGGGCTGCATCGCTTATCTGCCTGCCACCACTCCACTCTGAGAATTTATTATCTGAAGCTGAAAAAGTTAGCTCTCTTATCCGGTTCCAAATGATTTCTCTTACGTTATTTAGTAAATACTTAAATAGCATTTACTTGGTACTATTGTAAGTATTTTACAAATATTAATTAGTGGAGAAACTGAGGTACAGCTAAGTCACTTACTTCAGCCTAGGCAGTTTGCCTTCTAGAGTCTGCTTTTCTCTTGAACCCTAGGTTCATTTCACTCCATTTGATTGTTTTTTTAAACTTGGTTTTATTAATGGGGGAAGATTTTTATTTTAAGGTTAATGTTGTAATATTGTTGTTTGTTCAGTCCCTATTCACATAAAATATTTGCCACAAGAAAGAGTATCCAGACGATTAGGGAAATACTATCAAAAATATCTGTAGAGATTTAGTAATTGTGTTGACAGTTGTACCTGAAATACCAAGAATAGAAATAGGGAATAAATTTTTACCTCTAAAGAATCTAAGCTATAAATTCTCAGGGGTACTAGCAGGTAGCTGACTCAGCCAGTGGCTTTAAACAAATTACCCCAGATGTGAACCCCTTGCTTTTTCAGATGAAGACTCCTTGATGGGAAACACAAAGTATGTTGTAGAACTTTAATTAGTAAAATAAAACAAAAACGTTCTCTCGTTTCAACAAAGAAAGAAGAGTTTACATTTAGATGATTAAAAATGTTTGTTTTTTTTTTTCAAAATGTTTTTTACTTATTTCTTTCTCTCTGAATTTCCCTTGGGAAGAGGGACGCCATTATTTCCATTTTTTACTTGGCGGAAATATAAATCGCTTAGGGGCTACACAGAATACTTTATTGAAATGGTTTTAGATTGTTCCATATGTTGAATCATGCATCCAAATCTTATTATAAATATTAGATGAATACTCGTTTGTATAGTCAGATCCAGTTCTCCTAAAATTAAATTTTAGAAAATGCATATTTTTTAAATCACCTAAGGTTGTAGCCAGATGAGAAGTTCCATCACATCATATGCTAATGTATTGTTTATCCGAAGAGACAGTCGCGAGCATTTTTAACCTGAGCTTTAAAGCATAGTGTTTCATTGAGCAAGGGAAATCAAGAGAAATTAAAATGTCTCCATTTATACAACTTTAAATTGTGGTATGCTTTAAAATTCAAAATGTTTAGATCTTCAGTGTTTTTCACATTTAAAAATAGAAGTTTTTAAATTCAAGGAGATGGCTTCTGGTTAGACATTAGCAATGCAAGATCCTAACGTCAGCAAAAAATGACCTGA